GGATGGGGGGTACTCGAGATACGCTGAGTGTGTCTGTGTGTGTGGGCGTGAGTGTGTTTCTCATTAAGTGTGGAGGGGGCATGGCGAGGATAAGACGGTCGGCGATGACGTCATGGTATGAAGGCGCAGCCGGCAGTCGTAGGGGCGGCCTCGGCCGACCGGGACCTGCCGCCCGCCCGCGACGGCCCGGGGCGCGCGAGGCGTTGCGATGCGCCCATGCCAGCGCTCCATGGGCGGTATCATGCAGGGTTCTATGCAGGCGTGCCCGCAGGTGCGCACCCACTTAGTGTCCCACCCCCCACCATTTCAGGTGCGTGCGGCCGGCCCCACAGTATGATAATCCCTCCTCCTTCTGGCTCCAGGATCAACTTAATCAATCACCCCTTGCCCCTCATGTATACAACACGTACGCGCGCACAAACACAAACACAAACACATACATATATACGCACATGCGCACACGCACACACACCGCGCAGCCGCCCGCCCACCTCCCCCTCCAGGCTCAGGACCTTCTCCAGCAGCTTCCCCGCGTCCGGCGGCTTGATCTGGGCCGTGAACTGGCTGCCGTTGTTGATCCAGTTCTCAGGGGAGAGCTCCTTGAGCACGAACACGACGCGCTCGGGGGCGCGGTCGGCGGGGAAGCGGAGCGATACTGTGCGGCCGTCCACAAAGGGCGTCTGGACCGCCTTGGCGTCCACCTGGGTGATGAGTGAGTTTGGGAGGGGGTTGGGGGATGTGCGCGCGCGTGTGGATGTGTGTGCGGGTTGCATATGTGTATACATGTGTATGTGTGTGTGTCGCGATTGGTGTTACATTGCATTTTGTTGTTGACAATTTTGATGCGTTGAGTTCTCGTGCGTGCTTGCCAAGGGAGGGCTTGGGCATCGCCAGCGCAGCTAGGCGCCCGGCGCCCGGACCGCCCGACGGCCCCGCCGCCTGCCCCAAGAGCACACGCCCCGCCGCGCGTCCCATCACACATTGCGAGGGCCGCGCGTGGCGCCGCCCACCCTGTTGGTCCCCGGCGGCAGGAACTCGTCCGGCGGCGCCGCCCAGTCGTCCAGCGCCCAGTGCAGCACCATCGGGCGCGCCACGTCAGCGGCCACCTCGACCACGTACTCCGCGTCATCGCGCGTCGCGGTGACGCGGATGGCACCGGCGTCATACCTTGGAGGGCGGGGCGGGGGAAGGGCGGGTATGGGAAATGAAATATGAGATGGGATCGTGCGGGCCCGCGAGCTTGAGGTGTGGGTTTGTTCAGATGAGAGAAGCCGCTTTCCGGGGCGCCCTGCAGCTGCCTCTGGGGCCGCAGCCAGCTGCTCGGCCGGGTGCAGGGATGCGCGCGGGGACGGCGCCGGCGGCACGGCGATGGTGCGGGGAGGGTGGATGAGACTTCATTGAGCAGGGCGCCACGCAGGCCAGTGCATATTGAGTGCACCCTGCTGCCTGACCGGTCAGGTGGCATACCCCGCCCACCCACGCACCAGACGCTGGAGAGCACCTCCTTGGGGCCCGCGGCCTCGGCGCCGCTGGCGGCTGCCTGGGGGTCTGCCTGCGCGACACGCAGTGGCGGCAGCGGCGCCGCCCGCCCGCCCGCGTAGCCGAGGCCAGCGGAGCGCGGGGCGGGCGTGGGAGACGCGGCGACGCCGCTGCGCCGCTTGTGGGCGCGAGCTACATGGCGGGCGGTCCCTGCACGCCTGCGCACGTGTAGAGGAGCAGTGGACAAGATAAGGGCCCATGCGCTCGGGGCTGCGCCATTGTGGTCGCACTGCCTGGGCGCATGCGGGCGCAAGGCGCTGCACTACCCGGGCTCAAGGCGGACCGCGACAATCTCGTTGGTGTTTGTCAAATGAAAATTAATCCCGCAAGAGATGAACGAACGCCGCTGGAAACGTGCTCACCCTATCGGCACGGGCGATCTGCCGCAGTGCCCCGCGATGCGTCTAGTGTTTAGCAACATGGTGTATGATCGCCCCTGGGATCTGGGGAGAGTGCGGTGGAGCAATGGGCGTGCAGACACCAAAGGGCCCTGATAATCATGAGTCATGCAGCGCTCGCATCGTGCCAACAGCAAAGGAAGCCGCCGCGTGAGCCGGACCAGCCCACCTGTCGCATCCACGCCCATCCGACACCTCCATGCCACACCTCAACCACCGTATTCACCAGGCGCACCCCTGGTGTCGCTGTAAAACGCTCCGGCAGGCACTCCACAACACCGCAACAGCCCAGAACATCCCTCACCCCTCATAACAACGCACCTTGTCCCCATGCACCGCGCTTTGGTTCGTCCATGCGCACGACCATGGAGTTGCTGGAGCATGTTGCCGGAGCACTATCTTTCAACATTTGCCACAACACATCAGTGGAAGACGTCCAGATTGCGCCCATAGACAGCCAGGAAGCATGTGCCTTGCTGCCAAGGTTCACTGCCTCGGCCAGCGCTGCTGTCCACTTTAACGTCGTGGCAGATTGTGCTCAGAGCGGCAACAAGCAGCGTCGATCAGGCAGAACCAAGCCAGGGGTGTTTACAGGATGCATACAGAGACCCGCAAAAGGTGCCGGTGCACCGCAGTGTTTGTTTTCCAAGCCTGCCCCTGGGGCTACCAGTTATGTGGGGACCATCAAGGGTTGCGTGTGCGCAAACACGTGCGGTTCTGGACGCGGTGAAAGCGCGCCAGCAGAAAACTACACAATTCTGACAAGGCAGGTTTTTGGCAGCCGTCGTGTCACCAACGTTGTCGTCAGAGCCGTGCATGACCCTTGCGAGCCAGCAGGTAAGGTACGGAAAGGCAGGCGGGCGCGAGGCGGGGGCACCAGGCTGCGGGCTGCAGGCTGCCACCACGCACCATGGCCTCGCCTTGTGAGGCCGCCTGCTGGCCGGCCCTCGGGCTTCCGCGCACGCGGTCTGATAGGAACTTGCTGCGAGCACGCGGATTGAACAGGGCACCTCACACCACAGGCGCCGAGATGCATGGACAAGCATGGGCGCAACATCAACCATCAACGCAGTACAAGCTAAGAAGCCTCCCTGTGGGGCCTGACAGATTACGGGGCCGATGCAAGGGCATCAGCGGACAGCGGAGCGCCCGGTAAGTGTGTGAGGTTGCTGGCATTGCGTGAGGCGGGGCAGGAGGGCGGCCATTGTTGAGTGTTTGAGGTTTGCACCATCGGACAGAGCCGAAACAACGTGATCCACGAATCACACTCAAGTCCTCCCGCCCACGGTCGCCCTAAATGCTCCCACACACACAGCAGAGGGGAGCCGCGGAGCAGGTAGGAGCCGGGCCGCAGCGCCCAGGCGGCTGCCTCAGTGCGCAGCCGTCAGAGTCGCGGCGCCGCCCTCAGGCGCCTGGCCCGGCGTCGCCACCGCCACCGCCGCGGCGGCAACAACGTCCACGAGCGTGTCGAGCGCCGCCGCGTCCATGCCCGCGCCCAGCGTCACCCGCAGGCCGCCCGAGCCGCGCGCGGCCATCGGGAACAGCACGGGGTGCACGTAAAGCCCGCCCTCAAACACGGCCCGCCACGCCGCCATCGCGGTGCCGTCGCCGCCGTCCCCAGCCACGACGTGCAGCAGCGGCCCCCCGCGCTCAGCCACGCGGCAGCCCCGCGCGCGCAGGCGCGCGCGCGCCGCCGCGACGTTGCGCTCGAGGGCGGCGACGCGCCAGGGCTCATCGCGGAGCACGCGCAGCGCTGCGAGCGCGGCGGCGGCGCTGGGCGTGGCGAGGGAGGCGGTGAAGACAAAGCCATATGCAGACAGGTAGTTGATGAGCGGGCGGCTCGCGACGACGAAGCCGCCCTGGGAGACCAGTGTCTGCGGGGCGTGGCGGGGCAGGATGTTGTTTCAAAATGAGGGAAGGCTGGATTTGACTTCGTCTGAGATCACAGGTATCAATGGCGGGCGGGGAGCTGTAACGTGGCTGCAGCAGCAGCAGCAGCAGCAGCAGCAGCAGCAGCAGCAAAAAGCAATGGTTTGAGCTGCGCCGCCGCGTGCAACAGCAGGGCCGGCGAGGCTTTGCGGGGGATCCCAGCCGCCGCGCGCCGGGCTACCAGCCGCGTGCGGGCGAGCCGCCTGCGCAGCGGAGAGCCTCTGAAAGCAGCGCCCGCGCGCCCCGCTTGTCTGGCAGCGCCAAGCGGCCCGCCTCCGCGCCGCACCTTGCTGAACGTCCCCACGACAAGGTCAGCCGCGCGGACGTCATCGAGCAGCGTCGACACAGTGCCCAGCCCGTGCGCCACGTCCACCACCAGCAGGCAGCCGTGCTCGTCTGCCAGGCGGCGGAAGCTGCGCGGGCGGGGCGGAGGCGGCAAGGTTGTGAACGGCCGAGCGCGCTCATGCATGCGACGCGGGGGAGCGAGGGCTCGCTGGGGGCGCGTGCGGCTGCAAATGCAGCCGGCTGGCAAGGCGCAAGCGGCAGCTCCCGGCGTGGGAGGGATGGGGCAATCAGAGCTTCTCCCTTATGCGTTTTGGCGAGGGGCTTGTTTGTGATGTGAAGATGCGCGCACGGATGCGCGATGCGTCATTGGCGTCACCTGGCGACGTCCATGACGCGTCCGTCTACGCTGAAGACGTACTCTGTCACGATCAGCGCGTCCGCAGCGCCCGCCCTGTGGGTCTTGAGCAGCGACTCGAGGTGGGCCGCGTCGCCTTGGAGGGCGGGGTTGCGGGGGGATGGTGCGGGATGGTTGGGCGTGTGTCAGGCGGGGGTCGAGGGTGGGGTGATGCTGGGATTTGAGGGCGGGTTGGGGGTCTGGGGCGAGATGGAAGCGAGGGATTGGGGTCGAAGCTCCCGAAGGCGCTTGCAGTAAGCACGCTGTCTTGGTGGAAACGATCAAACAGCAGCGCGGGGGGGCGGGCCAGGCGTGATTCGTATGGCATCAGGAAGCGGGCGTGGTGCGGTGTCGGTCGGCTGCATTCGCGAGCGGGCGGCAACAATTCCTCAGGCAGCGCTGCCTCTGCGGGCGACAGCGAGGGGGTGGCGCGCACCCGTCCTGAAGCGGACCACGCGCGCGCCCGACAGCTTGGCGCCCGCCGCCAGCGAGTCGTGCGCGTGGGCGTCGATGAAGATGACATCACACGGCTTGGCCAGGCCCTTGAGCGGTGCGGCGCACGCGAGCCATCCTGGGGGGTTGCGGGGACGCGTGTGAGTGTGCGTACGAGGTTGCGGTTCTTCCAGTGACTGGGTGGCATTTTCAGGCGGGGATATGGAGAGGGGCCCGCCGCACAGCCAGGGTGCGCAGCCAAGGAAGACACCGGAGGACGCACGGGTGCAAAGCGCCCCGACGCCCTGCCGAGACGGTCCAGCGGCATATTGAGAGACCAGAGAAGCCCCCTGGCTACCAATCGCGCACTCCTCGCTCATTGTGCACTTGCAAGTTCCCAGGCTCAGCCAGCCGGCGGCGAGGCGCACCCGCGGGCATGAGTAGCGCAGCCTCCTTCCCAAAGTAGCCCGCCAGCTCAGCCTCGAGCTCCCGGTGCACGCCCCCCGACCCGCACAGCGCGCGGCTGTTGGTCAGGCAGGAACCGTGCTCGGACACGGCGTCGGTCACCGCTGCCACGACCGCCGGGTGCTGCGAGAGCCCGAGGTAGTCCATGGACCCCGCGTTGAGCACGGCGCGCTCCTCCCCCGCGTGCGTGCGCACGACGGCCTCGCGGCTCGCGGCGTCGGTGGTGAGAATCGTCACAAACGCGCCGTTGGCGCCGGCGGCGTCCATCGCAGAGAGGGACGCGGTGAGGGCCGCCGCGCGCTCCGCGATGCGAGCGGGTCGCCCGCCGACGAGGCCCATGTGCGCCTGCGCCTGCGCGGCGCCGAAGCCGGCGAGCATCGGCCCCGCGCGCGCCGACCACGCGGCGGCGTCGAAGGGGCCGCGGGCGGCGGCGGCGGCGAGGCGCGCGGCGCGCAGCGCCGGCG